TACTATTTAATGGCTTAAAAAATAAATAAAAAAAATCTAAGCCATGATACAAAAATTTGAAAGAAAAAGTTAACAAATCTATGTCAAAATTCAAATTTAGGAATTTGAAAGGAAAATTAATTAATCAATTTCAAATTTTAAATTTAGGTAACACTAAAATATAGGAATCAATCCATATTTTCTATATGTGTTTTCTCTAACTATTTAATGGCTTCAAGTGCATCAACATTTTCGAAAGATTTCAATTAAAATAGTCACTATTAAAGTTTATGTTTCTTCGAAAAGATCCCTCTCAAATCTCTAACTACTTTGTCAAGAATATTTTTATCTCTAATATCTAATATCTCGCATGTTTATTTGTACCATGCATTCAACAATTATTTTGATATCTAAAACCTTCCCACATGTTTATTGCATTTTTATTTGATGTTAGTGTATTTTTATTAAACAAATCTCTAATCTCTTCCCTCTCACAATTCAGTAGTTTCAAATGCACATCCATCAAGAGCGTAATTGTGGATGATGGAAAGAATTGCACGCTTATCTATATATTATATAAGTAAAATGGGGTTTCTAATGACAACACTTGTGGGAGCTCTAAACCCTCAAACTAAATTTTTTGATTTTTGAATACTAAAAAAAATCTATTGGTTAAACTCTCTATTAATCATAACAATAAAACTCTAATTATTCCATAAATTATGATTTTTAAAAGGAAAATATTCTCAACTATTTCAAAATTTAAATTTGTGTACCACTATATACGGAAGCAATTCACTAAAATCTAATTATTTTTTATTTTTAAAAAAAGTTTATTAGTTAACTCTAATTTAACCATAACAATTAAATTTTAATTATTCCATAAATTATGACTTCTAAAAGGAAAGCATGCTCAATTATTTCAAAATTTAAATTTGTGTGCTACTAATATGGAAGCAATTCACTAAAATCTAATTATAACTATAAATATAAGAAAAAACTCTAATTATTCCATAATTTATGATTTTTAAAAATATATATATATCCATTTCAAGATTTGAAATTATGTGCCATTAATTATGATAAACAATTCAATATAATCTAAAATTTATAAAAACATAAATTATGATTTTTAAAAGGAAAGTATTCTCAATTATTTCAAAATTTAAATTTGTGTACCACTATATATGGAAACAATTCACTAAAATCTAATTATTTTTATTTTAAAAAATTCTATTGGTTAACTCTGATTTAACCATAATAATTAAATTCTAATTATTCCATAAATTACAACTTTTAAAAGGAAAGTATACTCAATTATTTCAAAATTTAAATTTGTGTGCCACTAATATAGAAGCAATTCACTAAAATCTAATTATAATCATAAAAAAACTCTAATTATTTCATAATGTATGATTTTAAAAAAAAAAAAAATATATATATATATATTTCCATTCAAAATTTAAAATTATGTGTCATTAAATATGATAAACAATTCAATAGAATCTAAAATTTATAAAAATATTTCAAATTGTCTTGCTATCTATGCGACAACTAATATAGAAATCTTTTTCAAAATTTATAATAATGCTCCTTTCAATATTCAATATAGTAAGCTTTCAAAATTACATTTAAAAAAAATCAAAGTTATTTTTATTTTTATTTATTTCCAAAGCTGCATACTAAATTTCTTGATTAATTTTTATTTACTATTAAAAAAAAATCTATTGGGTAACACTTTTTCAACAATAAAAATATAACTATCTAATGATTTATGAAATTTAAAAGGAAAGTATACTAACCCATTTCAAAATTTAAAAGTGTGCCATCTAACCATTTTAAAAAAATTTAATTTCTCTCATAATTTATGCTTTTAAAAGGAAAGAACACTAAATTAATTTTAAAAATTTCAAAATTGTGTATCACAAATTACGAGAAGCAATTCACATCTCCCATAAATCTTCTTTCATGCACTCATTGGATTCAAGTCAAAATTAAAGTCGGTATTCATCAAGTGTTATAACTATTAGTGATGAGAGCAATTGTGAATAATTCAATTAATAAAAAATTTCACAGTAAGTTTATGTTTTTTTTAAAAAGATCAATTTATAATCGTTAGTGTCTCCTGCATCCTTATTTCTGTTATGCATATAACAATTATGTTAATTTCTAAAAATTTATTGCATACTTATTTAATTTAATTGTATTTTTATAAAATAAATCTCTAATCTTTTTGGTCGTGGTTCAGTGGTTTAAAATCTATAATTATCAAGTGCATAATATGGATGACAGAGGCTATTGAGAAAATGTATATATTTATTCGCAATAATCAGTAACAAATTTTCATTATAAGTTGTTTCTTCTTCTAGATGATGCATATGGTTATAATATTACTTATGCATTTATATTTTGTAGTTTCCATGATTTCTTATTTCAAAATTTCTATAAAATTTTCTTTTAATTTAATTTCAGATTTTATAGATGGACCTTTTTTCTTGAATATTTTATACTTATTATATTTTTATATTATATTATATTTAAGGGGTACTTTTTCATAAATCCCTTTTCTCCTACTTATTTTTCATTTAGTCCACATTATTTTCTTATATTCCAATAAGTCTTATGAGTGACATAGTTACCAAAATATCTCTAATAATATTCACATTTATAGTGTGAATGTTCTATGATGTGAATGCTCACACCATCAATATGAATCACTACAAGAAAAGGGGCTTAAAAGACGGAACTTTTTGCGGCGGCACATTTGCCGTCGCAAAAAATGTGACTTTTTGTGACGGTGCAACTTGCCGTCGCAAAAAATGTGACTTTTTGAGATGGCACAACTTGCCATCGCAAAAAATAGAGTATTTGCGCAGGCATAAAATGCTGTCGCGAAAAAAGAGAGTATTTGCGACGGCAGAGATTGCTGTCGCAAAAGAATAGAGTTTTTGCGACGGCAACAGCTGCAATTGCCAAAAAAAAAAGAAGAGTTTTTTGCAACCGTAATAGGTACCGTTGCACACAAAAAAAAAAGAGTAAAAAAGTAAAAATATATATATATATATACATTGTGGCTTTGAGACGGCTTCATATATATATAGTCACAAAATGGTTTAAATAAATGCAACAGTATTTTTCTGTAAAAAAAAAAAAAAAAAACGACATCATCTTACTCTTTTGAACATTTCTCTTTTCACCCATTTTTTCATCTTCCTATCTCTCTGTCTCTGTCTCTGTCCCTCTTCTCTCTCTCTCTATGTGTCTCTGTCTCTTTTCGCTTTCTCTCTCTCACTCATTACTCTTCTCTGTCTGTCTGTCTCTCTCTTTCTCTCTGTCTCTCTTCCCTTTCTCTCTCTCTCATCACTCTTCTCTATCTGTCTCTCTCTCTCTCTTTCTCTCTGTGTCTCTCACCCATCTCTCTTATCTCTATCACTCTTATTTCTCTTCTCTCTCTGTCTTTCTTCTCTTTATCTCTCTCGATCTCTCGCTCATCTCTCCCTGTCTCTCTCTCTCTCTCTCTCGTTTATCTCTCTCTCTCTTTGTCTATCTCTTTTCACCTATTTTTTCATCTTCCTCTCTCTCTTCTCTTTCTCTTTCTCTCTCTCACTTATCACTCTTTTCTCTTCTCTATCTGTCTATCTATCTACCTGTCTCTCTCTTTCTCTTTTCTCATCTCTCTTCTCTCTATCTCTCTCATCTGTTTTTCTCTCTGTCTTTCTCGCTTATCTATCTTCTCTCTATTTCTCTCTCTCGCTCATCTCTCTATCTCTCTTATCTTTTTATCTCTATCTCTCTGACTCTCTCTCTCATCTCTCTTCTCGCTTATCTCTCTTCTCTCTCTCTATGTCTTTCTATCGTTCATCTTTTTTTGCTATCTTTTTCTCTCTTTTTGCCTATCTCTCGCTCATCTCTTGTTTCTTTCTCTTTTCTGTCTCTCTTTGTCTCTTTCTCTCTCTGTCTCTGTCTTTCACTCATAACTCTTGTCTCTCTCTTTCTCTTTCTGTCTGCCTATTTATTTGTCTATCTATTTCTCTCTCCTTCATTGTGTTCGCCTTGCTTACTCTCCCCATCTCATATTCTCTATTTATCAAGCTCCCTCTCGATTTATTAAGACACTACAAGAAAATGCACTTTTAGCGACCACTTTGTCTTTGTCTCGCTTATCACTCTGTCTCTCTATCTTTCTATCTCTCTTCTCTATCTGTCTCTCACTCATCTCGCTCATACCACCTATCTCCTTTACCATCTTCACCACTACTGCAAATGCCATTCCACTACCACAACTACTACCACTGTTGCCACTGCACCTTTACAACTATCATTACTACCACTTTCGCCATCATTCCACTACCACCACTACTACTACCATTGCCTCTCCTCCATTACCACTACTCTATCTCCTCTATCACTACCACAACTTCACCACTAATCTCCTTCGCCATCACCACCACCACCACCACCACTATCACCTCTTATCCACCACCACCACTACTGCTGCCACTACTACTATCATTACCTCTCCTCTACCACCGCCACTCCATCACCTCTACTAGTACCACAACTTCACTACTAATCTCCTTCGCCATCACCACCGCCATCACCACCACCATCACCTTCACCACTACTGTCGCTCCCTCTCCTCTACCACAAAAAATTAGTTCCTGATTTATAGTAACCAAAAAAAATGGGCCGCAAAAAAAAAAAAAAATTTAACTTTATTTTAATAGAAAATATTTTCTCATTAAAATATTACCCTTACTTCTACTAAAGAAAAAAAAATAATAAATTTTTTCATTAAAATAAAAATGAAACAAAGAAATTTTTAATGAAAAATGAAAAATCCAAAAAAAAAAAATTCATTAACTAAAAAAAATGCAAAATAAAAACAATTCATTAACTAAAAAAAATGAAAAAAAATAAATAAATTCATTAACTACGAAAAAAAAAAAATTTAACGAAAAAAAAAACTCTTTTCGTTTTCCCGCAATTTTATCTCAATTTTATCCCAAACTTAATTTCCCCCCCATTTTTTTTCCTGTCTTTCCCTTCCTTTTTTTCATTTCCTTTCAGGTTTGTAGAGCCCCAAGTTTTGAAACAACACACTCTCTCTCTCTCTTTCACGGAGGCGAGCAGCGAGCAGCGAATTTTGGTTTGGACAAGCGACCAGCAGGACCATGATTCTCGACAAGGGTCGGCTTCTCGAGACCAAGCAAATGTTCTGCGACGCCGGTGAGCAGTGGCCTGTTATTATCCCCGAGGAGGAGATCTGCCAAGCAGCCCCTAGTACTAAGGTAACAGTTTCTGATCAAATCTCGGCATTTTTTGATTCATACATTTGATCGAACAATTGGTGGGTCTTGATTATTCTTTCTTCATTGTTGTTGTGGGTTTGATTTTCTGTTACATGAATTTGATGGTTTTTTGTTTTATTCAATTTTTCTTTTCTATATATATATATATATATTATGAGCAATTGGTGGATTCTTCAATCATGCGTCTTTATGAGACTTATGAGAGATATTTGGTTCAAAGTTGGAAAAAATTTTCAGATCAGATTTATGGGTCGAATTGCTTGACATTGGTAGGTATACCCATAAAAAGTGGTGAATATTTCAAAAAAGATATGCCAAAATATTTAAAAAAAAATACTCATGGGCGATGTATTTTCCTTGAAATAGATATGCCAAATTTAGAAATTTGACTTAGCATTATCATAATCGAATGATAAAGGGGCATGTGTTTGATTTGGTCCTAAATTAAAATTATATATTAATAAAAGTAGGAAAATTGTCAATGGATAGGAAAATTGCAAAATAAATTGTAATATGAACGTGCAAATTAACTAGTAATATAAAAGTGGTTGCTTAAGATGAATCTCTGGTTTTGATTACACTATGATTGGTTTTCAGTCAACAGGGTCATTCTTCCATGAGAAGTGCATAACTATTGGGAGTTTATTGGGTCTCATTCTGTAACTTTGTTGAAGGCAACCACTACATGGTACACCTATTGGTTATGTTACTCTTTGATCTAGCTTTACAATTTCAAGTCACCAAATAGTCTTTGAACTGTTTGTTAAAATGTCTGACCCAAAAATGTTTATTTTGAAATGATAAAGAATTACAAATGCTATATGCTGATCAAGTCACCTATTGGTTATGTTACTCTTGGTTTGTTTTCTAACTCTAATGTTTAGGACAATTGATGTGGTGATTACACTTGGGTTTATTGACAATTGGATTGGGAACAAAACTGCAGGAGCCTCTATAGCTTGTAAATACCAATGTAATTCTTTTTCCAGTTTTCTATTTAAGAATTCTTATTCTAGAAGTCAAAGTCAAGTCTCTAAATGTCTAGTTTTCATTTTGCATTTCAAGAAGGTGATTCTTAAGTTACAGAAATCTATCTATAGATTCTGTAAGTGTTTGATGCCATGTCTTTATGTCTGTTTTATTTTATTTTATTTTTGTTTATTTCGATATTATTCATTTTGTGGAGTACCAAAGACTCATGTGTGCTGGTGTGGATGACTACTGAGCTTGCATGTGATTATTCTCCTGATCAGCATAGAAGCTTTGATGGAACTAGTAACTCTTTGGTAAGTTACTACAAATATTTTCTTTCATATCAGTAATTTCGGTAAAAAAAATATAATTATATATTTGCAGTGCTGGTCATGGGTAGAAGATATTCTTGAGAGAGAGAGAGAGAGAGAGAGAGAGAGAGAGAGAGAGTAGCAGATAATGATGCATAAATTACTACATAAAGGTAATTTCTCTTACCCTTAATGTATGCACTTATTGCTATTGTGTGGTGAAAGATCCACCAATGAACTCTCACCTATCTTTATTTTTAATTTTTTTTTATTTTGAATTTTTTTTGAAAGATTAATACATTTATGCATTCCCAAAAAAACTGCTAACATTTAGAGAACAGGTAGAAAGCCATGGCTTGTGAGAAAAAGGTAAAAAAAACTCATAAGCAAGCCAAGGCTTATGATATAACAATAGGGGAAATAACATTTTAGTTGTAAAGTTAAAAAAATATCAATCTCAAACAAAGTTTTTCATTAATGTGAAATGATTTTTCCTAAATTCAACTGAAATGATGTTTTCCCTATAACAGTTCAATTTATATTCGTAAAAAAAATTTAAAAAAAAAAACAAAAAAACTCAGATTAGTGATAAATTTTAATAATTAAAGTCATAAAGTTTTTCATGAATAAGTAATTATTTTGGAAGAAAACACTGATTTGTAATTTTTTGTCAAAAAAACCTATCATTGTGACTTATATTTTAAACAAAGTTTGTTCCTGCATCATTTTTCATATTTGATTAAATGTATGGACATTCTCCCAAGTGGTTTTTATTTTTTTGGTATGTGGAAGCATTCTAGGTCTTTGAAAATTGGAACTTGGGGAACTTTGAATGGAAATCATGGAGGGAACACGTCACATTGTCACTAATATGGTTGGGTTGCTTTTTAACATTTATCAGCCATCACCCTTGTAGGTGGACCAACCCTCCCTTCCAAGGTACATCTTGGTTTTTAACATTTATCAGCCATCACTAATATGGCTCTGCCATGTGTAATAAAAGTTGAGCGTCTAATTTACTAGATCAATTCCTTAATTTACACCTTACTACTTCAATCAATTAAGCGTCTAATTTACTAGATCAATTCCTTAATTTACACCTTACTACTTCAATCAATTAAAAAAAAATACATATATATATATATATATATATATTGATTGTTGATGAGGGAGGAAATGTCTTTGTGATAATGTCTACAGTTGATGAGGTTCAGGCAGTTGCTCAACAATTTAATGGTTATGTAAGCTTTGTTGTTTTCCACATTTCATTTGATTGTTTGTGTCAATTGTACTTGCTATCTTTAATGGGTTGTTATCTTTGATAGGTTGTCTTCACTGTTTTAATTGAACTTGCTATCTTTGATGGGTTGTTATTTTTGTAGTGTTAGTTGTTATGTTATTATTTGGCTTTATATATTTGGTAGTTTAGCATTATTAGTCCTATTTTGTTCTTAGTTAGTTAATTTTAAATTTTAAGTTGTTATGAGATAGTTTTTAAATTAATTGTACACAGCCCAAAAGGATAGAGGCTAGGCACGAGAGACTTATGGGAGAAGACGGGACTCGAATCGGGTTTCTGGTTTGGGAGTTAGAGCCGAATTTCGGTCTAGGCAAACTAGTTGCTTAAGAAACTTGAATTCGAGGTGTTGATACCCCAAAATTCCCAAACGGCGTCGGAATAGCACGAAACTTGGCACACACGACCACCTAGGCATGAGAGACTTTTGGGAGAAGACGGGGCTCGAATCGGGTTCCCGGTTTGGGAGTTAGACCCGGTTTGGGAGTTAGAGCCGGATTTCGGTCTAGGTAAACTAGTTCCTTAAGAAATTTGAATTCGAGGTGTTGACACTCCAAAATCGCCAAACGGCATCGGTTTGGTACGAAACTTGGCACACACGACCGCCTAGGCATGAGAGACATATGGGAGAAGACGGGACTCAAATCGGGTTCCCGGTTTGGGAGTTAGAGCCGGATTTCACTCTAGACAAACTAGTTCCTTAAGAAACTTGAATTCGAGGTGTTGATGCCCCAAAATCACCAAACGGGGTCGGATTGGCACGAAACTTGGCACACACGACCACCTAGGCATGGGAGATTTGTGGGAGAATACGGGGCTCGAATCGGGTTCCTGGTTTGGGAGTTAGACTCGGATTTCGGTCTAGGTAAACTAGTTCCTTAAGAAATTTGAATGCAAGGTGTTGACGTCCCAAAATGGCCAAATGACGTTGATTTGGCACGAAACTTGGCACACACGACTGCCTAGGCACGAAAGACTTGTGGGAGAAGACGGGACTCCAATCGGGTTCCCGATTTGGGAGTTAGAGCCGGATTTCACTCTAGGCAAACTAGTTCCTTAAGAAACTTGAATTCGAGGTGTTGATGCCCCAAAATCACCAAACGGGGTCGGATTGGCATGAAACTTGGTACACACGACCGCCTAGGCACGAGAGACTTGTTGGAAAAGACGGGGCTCGAATCGGGTTCTTGGTTTGGGAGTTAGACCCAGATTTCAGTTTAGGTAAACTAGTTCCTTAAGAAATTTGAATTCGAGGTGTTGACACCCTAAAATCGCCAAACGACGTCGATTTCATACAAAACTTGGCACACACGACCGCCTAGGCATGAGAGACTTGTGGGAGAAGACAGGACTCCAATCGGGTTCCTGGTTTGGGAGTTAGAGTCAGATTTCACTCAAGGCAAACTAGTTCCTTAAAAAACTTGAATTCAAGGTGTTGACGCCCCAAATCACCAAACGAGGTCGGATGGGCATGAAACGTGGCACATACGACCGCCTAGGCACGAGAGACTTGTGGGAGAAAACGGGGCTCAAATCGGGTTCTCAGTTTGGGAGTTAGAGTCGGATTTCTATCTAGCCAAAATTATTTACTTAATTATCTTTGTAATTATATAGTAGTTAATTTTTTTATGTTTTTTTGTAATTAATTATTTTTATTTTTTGTTTTCAGATATTTCCCCTGTAACACCCTCAAAATAAGACATAGTCCAACCATTCAAATAATCCATAAAGCATAATAAAAAGATTACATATTGCATTCATCAGAGTATTCAGTAGAAAAGTATTATATGTTGACAACAAAAGTAAATGCCCTACGGGCCTACAACTTTCCAAGTCAACACTTAGTTACAAAATAAAAGAGTTCCAACTCTTTACATATTAAGCCATTGGCTTGATTTTCATGTAACACCAAAAATAACAATACAAAAATACACTTCTATCCTTCTAAACCTCCCAAGCTATATCCTTGGATGCAGCATGCTACCTGTACCTGAAAATGGTGTCCCTAGAAGGGTGAGCCAAAGCCCAGTAGAAATATGCTAAACCAAATATGAGAAATAACTAAAACATTAGCATTATAAGCCAAATTACACCCTTTACCAAAACTATCAACAAGTACATCCATATTTCAAATCCATCTCTATTCATCCACCCAAGTTAATTCATAAGCATGGGTCATTATTCACTAGAATATTTCAAAATGACACTACAACTCATATTATCAACATTTCAATCATTAACAATTCGAAATGAGACTACAACTCATATTATCAACATTTCAATCATCAACATCATTCAGATGTATAAAAGGTTTCGGGACTTTCACCCTGGACACTCCAACCAACTTAATTATCAATGGGGTCCATCCCCTATCTCCTCCCAAATAGTGGAGTACATCCCCTATCTCCTCCCACCCAATGGAGTACATCCCCTTTCTTCTCCCAAACAAAGATACATATGCAATATATCTAAACGCGTGATCATATACAATGATCAATCACACCACATATTCAATGTGTTAATCCAACCGTCATATTCAATGACATAACCCAATTGATTAGTTTCAATTTACCTAATCATCATGCAGTTTTACAACAATCATGACTACCCTCCACCGATAGCCCAAAACAGTTATATCTAGACAGATAAATAAATCTATCAAACAGATAAATTATTACATTTTCCATAGGTGAGCGGTTTATCAACCAAACTACGCAATTTCATCACAATTTCCTCCAATTTCATGCTTCTCAATTGAATTTCATATTTCCATAATAATTTCGTCATTTTTATAATTGGTTCAATAAATCCCAACTAGGACATTTTCCCTTTTTTTTTCTCAAATATTGCTCCCAAGGCCAAATTTCATCAATCATACACAATAACCTCATTTTAGGGACCACACATACACTTGGAACCCCAAAAATAGAAAACCCCTCTTTTATAATTTCAATTTCAAACCTTAACTTCACCCAAAAACCCCAAATACCACCATTTATACAAAATGACCAATACTTATGTTAAAACTCATAGAGAAGAGTAGAATATCCCTACCTCAAATTTCGGAGCTCAAAGAAGAAGATGAACCAAGCAAGTGGTGAACTCCAAAGGTGGCGAAATCAACTTCTATTCGGATGGAAATGGAGGTCTTGAGAAGCTCCAAAACTTTAATGAAGACATAAGGGTTGGGTTTCACTAAATCAAGATCAAAATGTAGAGAGAGAGTATTCTAGAGTGAGAAGCTCTCAACCTAGGGTTTTGGAATGCTTTAGAGAGAGAGGAAGCCAAAAAAGTGATTCAAAATGGCATCTTCTCGGACAGAAATACACACAGTCCGCTTGAGCGTGGGACGCCCCGCTCGAGCGTCAGACATAGACTCCAGCTCGACGCTCAAGCGTCGAAAGCACTCTTCCAGCTTCTACAGACAAGCGAAAAATACTAAAGGCTGAAGAATCCTGCTCAAGCGTCAGACTGGCTGCTCGAGCGGAGGAGCAAATGTAAAAGGGCCCGCTCGAGCGTGAAAAGTCTCGCTCGAGCGGGGAGACCAAAATCTGGGCAGTAGCTATTTGTTTCAAATCACAACCAACCTGTTTCAAACCTGCCCAACACATCCCAAAACTCAAATACAAGGAATTAAAGGACGGAAATGCGATACAGATAACAACAATCATCCACGTAACCGAGTTTGGAGTACAATAAACAATGGAGGGAAAACCTAGATCACTATATCTCCACTAGCAGTTTGCTTCTTGTGGAATGCAGGAGTGTGAAGATTGCAATTAACTTTTGTTTTTGTTACCCATGGAAGAATCATGACGAAAACTTTTGTTTTTGATTTACGTTATTTTGAATTGTGAACAACATTATGTATTTAAACATTGTATATATATTATGCAACATTATGTAGTGGGATAATTTTGCTGATGTATTGTTATGAATGGAAGAATATTTTTATTATGGAAGAATTGTTATTTTTATACTGAAATTTTTATATTATTATGTAATTATCGGTTTATTTTTCAGTTATTTTTCATTTAATACAGGTAATTTTCATATTTTTAATAATTTTATTGCAGTTCTTTTTTTTTTTTTTGAGACGGCACCACACCATCTCAAAAGATATTTGCAAAAGTTGAAAAAAACTTTTTGCGACGGCATTATTTGTCGTCGCAAATAACCTTTTAGAGACGGCGTTGTCGTGCTGTCTCAAATAAACTTTTGGCGACGGCAGGTTACCCGTCGCATAAAACACTTTCGTGACGGTATTTTTGCCACCGCAAATAACACTTTTAGCCACGGCAACACAGTGTCGTCTCAAAAAATTCCAGATTTTTACATATTAATGGCGACGGCAGAATTCCGTCGCAAAAAGGCAACTTTGCCGTCGCAAAAAAAAGGCGACGACATTGTGTCGTCGCTAAACCTTTTAGCAACGCCCTTTGTTGCGACCCCCTACTTGCCGTCGCTAAAAGTCATCTGCCGTCGCAAAAAAGCTTTTGAGATGGCATTTGGAGTATTTGTGACGGCATTTCGCCGTCGCAAAAAGTCAATTTTTTTGTAGTGAATGTTAATATGTCAATGTGAATGTTCACATTGTCAATGTGTGAACATTCACATGTCAATGTGAATATTCACTTTATAAAATATGAATGTTCACATCACCAAATTGCTAACCGTTCAAAAAATATTTGTAAGGGTAGAAATGTCTATAAAATATTTTAAATATGAGAATTAGAATTTCATAGACCAAATGTTCAAATAATAGGACTTATTGGAATATAAGAATATCTTATAGACTAATTAGGATACATACACTGGAAAAAAGGATTTTCTAATAAATCTCTTTTTATTTTATTGTGTGATTAAGTTTATTTGATTGTAATTTTAAATTATAATTTATTTGATATTTTTATAGCTTATTTGGCTGAAAAAAATAGAGGTTTTATAAACTACAATTTGTAACTTTAAAAAAAAATTAAATAAAAACTTATTTGAAACCCTTGAATACATATGAACACAAGAGTCTCATATAGTAATAAGTTTTGAGGCATTATGAATATTTACATAATAAAAATGTTAAATAGATTATCAAAAGTTACATTGCAGCAAATAAATTTACAACTTATTTTAAGTTAATAATTTACAATTTTACTTACAATTTATAACCATTATATGGGTCGTGCCAAATATTAAACAAAGTTTAAGAAATACAAGGTGCATTTAGGTTAGGGCCTAAGTAACATAAGCTTAATAATGACTTTGAATATGGTGCACTAACATGTGGATAGTTTTCTTAAATAAAAATGTTTGCCAAAATTTTGAATGAAAAAAATTAACTTATAAAATAGGTTGATGATTAAATTTAGAGCATATTTGATAAAACTTAATTATTGATTTTCTAATGTAAAAAGTTTTAATAAAATATAAATTTTTTAAATTACATAAATTTATTCATAAATATTAAATGTGAAAAATGCTAGGAGTATTTGAAAATATTAAATTTATTCATAAATATTAAAATTTCAAATGTTAGAAAAACTATTTGATTAAGTATAGAATTTTTTTAATTAAAATAGTTTATTAATAAGGTTATGTCATATATATTTATAATTTATCATGTCCTTTTTTTTTTTTTTTTGAAAGTTTGTGATTAACTCTTAAAAATTTTAAAAATTCTTATTTGAAATGTGGATTATGCATAAACTATCAACAAATGAGAAAAAAAATTATAAATTCACATATAGTGCATATATTATCTTTTATTTGAACTATGCCAACTATGGGCTAAGTAGTCATTCTGACTCAAGCTACTCACTGTATAAATATCAAGGTTTAAGTATTTGCCATTAAAATGGTTTAACACATTTTCAATCAAATACACAATACAAATCTTAGACCTATGGTCTAGAGTTAAGTTGTTATATATATATTC